TTGACTGGACGCTTTCCCAATCAGTATTCCGCAAAAAAAATTCGAGCATATGTAAGATTTACCTATTCAAGTATTATTCCCTGTTCAGTTCTGGTAATTATTTTGTTATTTTACTACATATTTTTATACATATATCAAAGATTATATGAACTTCTTTTTTTTTATCCATGTGATTAGGCTGTAATAGCTTTTTTGGATAATAAATAAATAAATTATACCTTAGGGGGGTTACTTTGGAGGGAACAATATAGAAATTGATGAATATATTTATATTTTTCGAGACCTCGTATTTCACCAATACAAATTGAGCAACCAGCAATAGATAAAACCACCCGTCCTAGGGACGATAAAATTTTTAGGTCTTGCATTTGAAGATCGTAATTTTGCATTTGAGCAAAACGTTCTTATCGTTCTATATGATACTTGATTCTCCATATTCGACAGATTGATCGTCATTATGCTGTTCCCTGCATAATTTTGTTTCATTCCACTAATCTTGCAGAAAATATTTCTACCAGTGAAGCATAACATTGTGGCGACAACCAATTCTGTTACATGATACTTCACTTTTTTCCTTCTCGGAGGAACTTCAAGCGACCCAAGCGATATTTATTTACAAATCGTCAAATGAATTTAATGACATTACGCCAATTTTTGAGGTAGATGAACCGTTTTCTCTAATTGATCAAAGTGGCACGGCTATTCCGGTTTAATGGTTCCCAATTTGTCGGTCGATATGATGTAATTCGCGGATTGAAAGGAATAAATTTCCGTCACGCGTCTTCCATAGCGACTCCATTTGCCGTTAGACGATGCCTTATCTGCGATTAGTACCGCTACTGCTAGTAGTACTTTTGATATATATTATGTAGTTCAGTGGTCTCTGTCTGTATGATCTTCCACCTGTTCTTGTTCGACTTTAATAATGGGACGATTTATGTGTACGGGTAATAAAGTGTTTAGCTTTTGCAATTACTGGTTGATTAAGAAGTTTTGTTCAATTTGATGTCATGTGTTTTGTAGCTCCATATTTCAATAAATATTTATTATATATTCAGGTGTCCTCTAAGCGGACAATGACCGGTTAGTAACCCTGTAATTATTCTGAGCCGATCCCTACTATATTGAAGTAGTTCTTCGGTTCTTTTCTCGGACGGTTCCCTAATGAAGGTTCTACTGTGTTTGTTGCCAGGTACTTTTGTCCGGTACTCTGTATGCTTCTTATTGGCCCATGTCCTGATCTGGTTTCGTACCAATGTTTTGGTATCCCCAGAGCTAGTTCAGGACCTATATATGAAGTTGATGACTCGCGTCTAACGCATTCATCAGCTTTATCATTACCTGTGATTCCTGAATGCCCTGGCACCCAGTACAAAGTTAATGTGTTCCTGTTTGCAAGTTGATTCAGTTCTTCATGGCATTCCCAGACCAATTTTGATGTCAGAGCCTCTAGTGCGCTGTTGCTGTCTGTAAAAATATTGATCCGCTCATTTCTTTGAGGTCTCAATTTAATAAGCCTTGCAAACTGCAAGATAGCTACACTTTCGCCTAAAAGAAGGATGTGTATAGTCCTAGCGCATAGCTGTAGTTTAGATTTCTATCCGCTCGGTATATTCCAGCCCCTGTTCCATGTTTGGTCTTCGATCCATCTGTATATCAGGTGTTTCCAAACATATTATCGGGGTGACTAATGGTCTTCCACTCTTCACGGCTTATGATTTTGGCCGTGAAGTTTGTCTTAAAGCTGTACTTCGGTGTCATGTGATCCGTGCACATATTCAATATGTGCTTCTCCATTTGTTCCGAAATTTCTGTTCCATCCGATCTTTTGTAGTTCGGTGAGTTTTCCAGTCTGAATTGGCCCATCCTGGCCTCCCCCATTATCACAAAGTGTAAAGGAGGTAGATTCAGGAGTGTCTCCAATGCAGGTGTTGGGGTAGTTCTCATTGCTTCCGTCATTCCCAAACATGCAAGTCTTTGCACCTTGCCTAGTTTGTTGATGGCGGCGCCTGCTTGCTCTTTGGCCACCAGACCAGAGATGCGTATGTTATCAAGGGTTTAACCACCATCGTGTATAGCCAATATATCATGTCTGGTTTTAGCCCCCATGTTTTTCCATAGGTGCGTCTGGCGAGCATCAGTGCTACTTTCGCTTTCCTCTTTATCCTGTCCAAGTGTTGATTCCAGGTCAGTTTGGAATCTAGGATTACTCCCAGATATTTAACCTCCCCCAACACTTGTATTTCTTCAATTCGAAGTTTTATAGGTCCGAGACCCTCCGTTTTAGTCCTCTTGGTGAATGCTACTATGGTCGATTTGGATGGGCTTATGTTAAGCCCTTCTTCCTCGGTCCATCTTGTTATAATGTTCAGGGCCTGCTGCATGCATCCCTTCACTACATTATTGTATTTACCCTGGACTGAGATGACTAAGTCGTCTGCATAGCCCAGTGCTTTATACCCATTATGGTCCAAGAGACATAGTAGCTCGTCCATTACAAGGTTCCATAACAGAGGGGATAGACCCCCCCCCGGGGGCAGCCCCTTTGCTATCCGTGCCACGACTGTTTCCCACATAATGGTTGTATATACCAATCTTCCCCTAAGCATGCAGTCTATCCACCTACAGCTTGTCTTGTCGATCCCTCTTCTCCTCGACATGTTTTTCACTTACTTGACTACTGACTCACTTAAAGCCCTTACATCATCGCCTCAAGGCGCTCTAAAAGCGGTGCCTGTGCGAAAGTAACGAATCATTGGATTTGAATCGCTGGAGATCAAATTGGACTACACATTTACTACATTTGGACTGCATCGTTTGGATTCCTTTGTTGGACTTCAATGTTTCGGCTACATTTCGATATTGTTTGGACTACATTTCGTCATTGTTTGGACTACATATTCACCACATTTGGCCAGGACTACATGTTTTCATATGTCGAAGATTCTTAGTGAATCAACCGTCAGAACTATTTTCAGTACTATTTTCAGAAGATCAACTTTATAACCCCGATCTCAGAACAGTAAAGTTGCTGCTACTAAGAATAAACATATATCCAGTTCCTCAAAAAAAAAAAAAAAAAACAGAATAATGTTGGTTCGGACAACATTTTTTTATTAGTTCGGTTTGGACTACATTGCTGTGGACTACATTGCTGTGGACCACATTGCTGTGGACTACATTGCTGTGGACTACATAGTTTGGATTCCATTGTTTGGACTTCAATGTTTGAACGACATTTCGACATTGTTTGGACTACATATTTACTATGTTTGGTTAGAACATCTTTTCATATGTCGTGAATCAGAAGAAAAATATTATTTTGTAAAGTCAGTACTATTTTCAGAAATATTCAACTCTATAACCCCGATCTCGGAACGGTCAATTTTTATTGGTGACATAAATTCATTATATAAATGCTCAAAACGCTGTTAATCAGAATTAACATATATCCAGTTCTCCCAAAAAAACAGAATGATGTTGGTTCGAACAACATTTTTTTCATGTGTTCGGTTTGGACTACATTGCTGTAGACTACATGGTTTGGATTCCATTTGGACTACATTTCGACATTGTTTGGACTACATATTCACTACATTTGGTTAGGACATGTTTTTATTTGTCGAAGACTCAATGAAACGAAAAAGAAATATATTCATATGTCGAAGACTCTCAGTGAATAGAAAGAAAAATATTATTTTGTAAAGTCAGTACTATTTTCAGAAATATTTCACTCTATAGCCCCTATCTCAAAAAATGAAGTTTAATAATGATGACATCGATTCAATCAATTAACACCTCTAATAGGATTTAACATATATTTCGATTCTTTGATAAACGAAGAAAAATTTGTTTTGGACAACATTTTTTATGTGTTTGGTTTGGACTGCATTGCCTTGGACTACATCGTTTGAATTACATTGTTTGGACTGTATTGTTTGGGCTACATATTCACTACATTTGGTTAGTGAATTGAAAAAAAAATGTAAAGTTAGTATAATTTTCAGACCTCGATCTCATCAATATAAAGTTTCAACCTGATGACATCGATACATTAAATTAACACTTATAACCCTGCTAATAAAACATACCGAAAAACGAGACAAATTTTGGTTTGGACTACATTTTTTCTATGTTAATGACTCTCAAAGGTTTCAAATTTATCCAACTTCAAAAACCAGTTTTTTAATGACATTATGTTCTGAATGTTCTCACCACTTTATTCAAATTGTGATTCTATAAACTATTTAATAAAATATTCCAGGAAACTGTTCAAAGACCGACTCAACCCATTCATTTGAAATAGTTTCGCAAATAGAAACCTCACATATCCCCAGGCTAGAATGCAGATTGTGTAATACCTTTTTCACCTGCATTCGGTGAAATGTTGGGCGAATCGCTATAGGAAACGTTTTGCAAGGTAGATAAAACCGCTAATATCAGTGAATTAACCGCGATACAAATAAGAAACTGTTACCTGACAGTACCTGTACTTTCAGTACGACCACAATTAAAGAGCGATCTCCCCACGCAAACAAACGAATACACGCACGCTAATGCTCGCCTTCCAAGCTTTCGATGGCATTGAAATCTGGAGCATAACGCCGCAGGCACGACGGCAATCGACCTCGACGGACGTCTTCTAGCATCCTCCTCGATTCGCTTTCTCAGTCAAAGTACCAGTAAATCTAATGTACAATGATTTTCTAATTGAGTATACCTGTCAAAAAGGTGTGAGATTTCGTTTCATCGAAGAAGTTATGACATTCTTCATTAGTAAATAGTTTAGATGGGCTAACGTCATAGGTTAACACACTAATATCAAATCCATGTAATTATTAGTCAACACTAACCTTCAAACGACACGTGTACAAATTTCACAGCTTTCGGGTTATTAGTTCGTGTGATGGATACATGGAACCATCTTCAGACGAGTTTTCTGAAAGGCTAAACCTCTTGTAGCCGTGTTTCCAACAACAATAATATAAAAACTATCTCACCTGCGATGGCACGTTCTTGATCTTGAACTCCCTCTCGCTGGCTTCTAACGGGGGCCCTTGCTTGAAACTCTTGTCTCCAAAAAGCCTGTACACCACCCTGAATCCAAGGATGTTCGCCGTCTCCGATCCCCACTGGATAATCACCGAATTATCCTGCCTGAAGGCGTTCCTCACTAACACCTCCCTGGTGTCGTCGGCCTTGTTCCTCTGCGGAAAACCAATCACCATGGATGGTTTCTGACTGTTCTTCCACGCTGGTTGCGCTGCTTTCGTTTTCGGCTTCGTAGTAGCTGCTTTGACTGTTGTTGACGTGCTGGTGGAAGTCACTTTAGTCGTTGTGGATGATACCGATGTTGTAGTGGTCACCGTGGAACTCTTGGAAGACGGCACTCTGGTTGTTGTAGATGGTTTCTGGTTAGGAGCCACCAAGTCGTCCAGATCTGCGTTCACTACTGTGGCGACACCGACGGGTTGCTTGTTGGAGGCGTCGGCGGCTGGTTCCACGCTGGCGATAGTGGTTGTTGTGGTGGTGGAGGTGCTAGTGGATGGCGATGTTTCTTTCTGCGTACATGACAACTCCTCTGGTTGGATGCTGTAGAAACCTCGATCGCGGAATCTGGGGGGACTCCCGCAGAATTGGGGGTTGCGTTCTCTGCTCGTTACTTGCAGGTCGCCGTTTTTTATCCAGTTTATAACCTAGAAATAGAAATGGTTGAATTGTAATAGAAGAGGAAATGCTGATGGATAACTTACCCACGCCAATCGACAGTCGCAATGCATAAACCTCCCTCCGAGACTGAGTCCCCTCAGAGTGCTATTCAGATGCGACAACGCTTCGAAGGGTATGGTCGCCAAGGGATTACCATCCAGAGCTAGGAGGGTAATCGAGGGATTCCCCCGAAACGCGTCGACCGGCAGCTCAGTCAACAAATTGAAACCAATGTCCAGTACTCTGAGTTCTGACAGAGCACTAAGAGCTGCCGTGGGAAAGTCCGGGAGCAGGTTATTCAGCAGACTGAGCGAGCTTAACGTTTTCTTCACCCCCTCAAACGCATTGGCATTGAGGGTTTGGATCAGATTTCTCTCCAAGTTCAAGGCAGTCAACGAGCTCAGCCCTTGGAAGGTAGCGTCCTCGTTTTTCCCCGGCAGTTCTCTCAAACTGTTCTGCGACAGGTCCAAAAAGGCGAGGGTCCTCATTCCCTGGACTGCTTTCGGTACATCCTTCTGTTTCTGACAGAGCACTAAGAGCTGCCGTGGGAAAGTCCGGGAGCAGGTTATTCAGCAGACTGAGCGAGCTTAACGTTTTCTTCACCCCCTCAAACGCATTGGCATTGAGGGTTTGGATCAGATTTCTCTCCAAGTTCAAGGCAGTCAACGAGCTCAGCCCTTGGAAAGTAGCGTCCTCGTTTTTCCCCGGCAGTTCTCTCAAACTGTTCTGCGACAGGTCCAAAAAGGCGAGGGTCCTCATTCCCTGGACTGCTTTCGGTACATCCTTCTGTTTCGTACCTTTGAGGTTCAGGTTCTTCAAGCAGCCCTCCAGGCCCCGCAAAGACCCGTCTTCGAGCGTGACGTTATTGTCGGAGAGTTTGAGGGTGGCCAGTTTCCCCAAGGTCTCGAACGCCCCCGCCGGCACCGAACTGATTCTGTTGTGGGAGAGGTCCAACAGAGCTAGAGTCGCCAGTCTCCTGAGGCTGTTCACAGGCACCTCGTTGAGCTCGTTGTCCTGCAGGTTGAGGTTCTTCAGGGTGCGCTCTTGCCCCGCGAAGGCGTCATCGTGAACTTTTTTTATCCTGCAGCCGGAGAGCTGGACATTCTGCACGTGGAGGTTGACTAAGATGTTGTTTCGGAGTTCCCCAACAGTCGAGTTGTTTACGTAGAGAAGGTCCAGAGGGGTGGATGTCGCGTATTTGTTCAAGGCGCCCAGGAGGGTTTGCCAGTTTACGATGTCGCATTGTACGGATAGTTCGTGTCCTAGGTTGTAGGAGCAGATGCAGGCCGAGAGAAGTTCTGGGATTTCTCGCTGCCAAGGGCACTGGGCTGCGGTAAGGGAGAGCAGCGCTGCTGACAGCAGCAGGCTGGTGATGGATCGGTTCTTCATCACCTGAAATGAAAATAGAATGATATCAGTATTGATGAGAAGTAAATAGCATTCATGAAGAATACTTCAACAATGAATGTGAGTTTTCATTTGAGGTATATGGAGTCACGCTTTTCAACAAAATTATGAAGGAATCATTCAACGTAGATGAAAATGTTTGATGAAATTCAATTGCACAAACCTAATATACAGTGCGTACATAAATAGTGCCCCACCCAGTCTTGACTTTTGAACGGAACAAGTTATCAAGGTCTGACGAAAATAACGTGAAAAAGTAGTAGTTTTATAATAGTTGTATGGATCAAACGAATGATATACAGTGCTAGTCAAAAGTCCCCTCCCCCCCTCGTATCTTTTGAACGGGTATACTTATAATAATGAAATTTGGAGTGTGAAAATAAACGGATGTAGGCTTCTTAACTGGTCATAACAGGTGACGCAATAGTCATAAATGACGTCACAAGGCCACTGTGACCAAAAATTTTAAATGGGACCCTATGGCAAGTGACAGCTCGTTTGAAAGGTATTGAAAATACCTATTCAGTCATACCAATTTTGTTTGGGTTTCGGCTGATTTTGATTGATAAATTGAAGAAATACGAAAATTAT